TAGACTGCCTTTCCTAGGCTGAAGTCACTTGGCATCAAACTCATCTTAAAGGGCTCCTGAGGTGTGGGAATACCTGACACACTGATTGTCCTTTCACTGTTGTATGGACTACATGACTTCCACAATTAAATGAGCTATTAGATTCTTTTTTCATTTGTTTACTGCACACAAATAGCTTCATAGTAAATACCGTGTTTTTTAAGGCCAATTAGTGAGATCCACTTGCCATATATTACCACAAAAAGGTCGGGGGAGAGAATCTAGTATCATTCAATCTCTAGTTCCATGTCAGAAAGGAAGAGAAGGAAGGTGGCTTTATCAAATATGCCAGCGATACAACCCGTGGCAACCTGTGAACTAGTCAGAAATCCTCAGAGGGCTGTGTCAGTACTTTGAAAGGCAGGAAGCCTACAAAGGGGGACCCAGAAGGGTGCTCTCCATGACCGAACAAGAGAGAGAAATGAGGCTGGGAGAGGGCAGGAATGGAAGGCAAGAAGCCAGGTAGGCAAGCAGCTCATTCAGGATGATTAAAGCAGGTGAGCTTAGGCCATCGGTTCCTTTCTAAACCTCATTATCCTCTTCTACAAAATGGACTGGTGAATAAAAGGTCTGAAGCCTCCCACTGAACTTCAAAAGTCCATATTTTTTATGACTGGAACTGCACGGAGAATGTGCCCTGGCAAAGGGCACAGGGAGCGGGCAGACCAGGACCCCATCCTGCGCCAGTGGGAGCAGGCAGGTCCCTCAGCCTCTCCCAGTCTGTGTCCACTGAAAGCAGACAAGTGTGGCTAACAGGCAGTCACCTGCTGGGAGAAGTCCAAGGGTAGATCTGGCACTTCCAACTACCTTCAGTTTTTCCTAAATGAGAGCATCTGGAACAAATTTCATGCTGAAATGTACATAAGCAGCATACATTTCACTTACTATGCTGCACCACATGCTGTACGTGCTGCTTAGGATAAAATGTTCTCTCTTCTGAATGTTTTTCCATGGTTCACTACTTTAGAGTGTATACTTAATGTTACACATGCCCATGGACATTTGAAAGAGGCCTGTCAAAATAGCCAGGACACCTAAAGGAGGTGGGTATGCAGCACACATGTCAGACAAGCACAGACTCTGTCACCACACACTGCTTTTATCATGACTCTTGTGTCAAATGAAGGTTATTCCAGAGCTCTGAGAAAAGTGAAGGACAGTGGGTCCTTTCCAGTGAAAATAAGAGAATACCCAGGTGTTGAAGCAAAGGTGGTCTTCAGCAACTCCAGGAAGCTGGAAACACTGGTGTTCGGTCATCTTCTCCCACCTTCCCTTTCACTTCTGCTTTGTCCTTCCTGCCTTGTCCCCTCTCCAGGACCCCCGTCACATCCCCCGTAATCAGCACCTCCATTTATGCCACAATACTCAAAGCATCCCTCCCTAAAAGCCAATCCTGTAGTCAGCTTTTGGGGAAGAAATTGCACTCACAATTTAATGCACACTAAATGTTAAAATCCGGTAACTGAACTCTGTCTTTCAGGACATACAGTTAACCCTTGCACCAAGCAGGGGTTGGGGCGTCCACCCACTCACAGTGGGAAATCCATGTATATCTTCTGACTCTCCAGAAACTTAACTACTGATAGCCACTGCTGACCCGAAGCCTTACTGGTAAGTCAATTAACACACATTTTGTACACCTATTATATACTGTATTCTTACAATAAAGTAACCTAGAGAAAAAAATGTTTCTTCAAATTGCCACAAAACTCCAAAATTTTTTCCCCTATGTTTACTGAAAAGTGTGTGAGTGGACCTGCACAGTTCAAACCCGTGTTGTTCAATGGACAGCTGTATTTGCATTTTAGAAGACATCTGGACAGAAAGTGTTAGTGCTAAAGGGTTAAAACCCCAATGATAGATTTTCAGGTCAAGCAGACAAAACAGCTTGAGGAATGGGGCCAACGGGTGTTTTAACTTTTCAAATATGTCCAGATAACTGAGCTGTATATCAGTGGAAAATTGTGGCAACTATTAACTCTGCCTTTTTTTTTTTTTTTACCTCCATGTTTGCTGTTCGGTTTTGTTTGGGGGAATGGAGGGGATGTAGCTGAGATACTACATCGTGTCCTTGCTCACCTTTTTCCTGCATCTTTCCCATCATTCTCCTCCTAGTATGGTCAACTAAGCACACCTCTGACATGCTGCAAAAATACACTGTATTTGACCTTATGTCCAGGTTAGGCTCCACTTAAGTGGTCTGAATTCATTGTTTTTAGGCTTGTAGTCTTGTCGATCTATTGCCTGGTAAAAGGTATTTTTTAAATATCAGTACTCTCCACAAATCGGGATGAGCATCCTACTCATTGCTTTTAACATCTTGTCTTTAGCTAGTTATCAAGTTGGCAGGGTTTCTTACCATTAGCAATATTAATATTTGGGGTCAGAATTTTTTGCCAGGGGATTAGGGAGGTATCCTGTGCACCATAGGACATTTAACTGCTAGCACCTTGGCCTCTGGCTACTAGATGCCAGGAGCACTCTTCCAGGTATGACAACCTTATGTCTCCAGGCATTGCCAAATGTTTCCTGGGAGCAAAATCACCTCTATTTGAGAACCACTGAATTAAAATAAGATTACAAAAATGACAGTCAAACCCACTACTGGAACAAAAAAGTTAACAGCTGTTTTTAAAAGCATGGCAATCAATACAGAATTATCCTCACTCACTAGTTTTATTCTAAAGGTAACAGGTTATCAAAAGTTTCAAAGAAAAAAAATGATTCGGCAACCAATGAAGTGTTTGGGTGGGGGGAAAAAAAAGAGTAGTAAGGGAAGCCCAATGTGAACTTAATATGGAGGAAAGTTCTTCTGTCTTCTAGTCATAGAACATACTCCTTTTTATCACAAAGTTTTGGGTCACCAGAAAAAAACAAAACTAATTAAGACATACAAGACATATACACACTTGCCCTAATCAGCTGAGCTAGCCTGCAGAACAAACTTCCAACACAAAGATAATTTTGTGAAACCTATTCAAGTTGCCCAAATAGAGAAATAGCACTAGCCCACATATTCGGTTATAAGTATCTTTTCAGTTTTGGTGGAAAATGTAAGTGGTTATGTCTTGCCAATGGGTTTCAGCCCCGGACAAGTTCACTATGGAGTCAATGAGACTGAAAAAATGACAATGGAATGTTCTTGGGGTGAAAGGATTTACACCCAACTTTATTCCCACGTGGCAGGTCAATCACTAGAATCCTGTCCACTCAGAGCTAGTCTGCAGGCAGCAAGCCAGTCTCTGCCTCCGGCCCTCTCAGCTCCCACAGCCATCTCAGTCTCTGTCCTTGGCACTGCCACCACTCCATCCTCTGCTCTCCTGCAGCCCTGCGGCCATGCAGCCCAGAGCACTGGGCAGAGCTCTTTATATAGAGTCAATAACAACGTATTGCCCACATGTGTGTAGTGAGCAAGCCAACCAGTGCTGGCCAGGTGAGAATTCTGGCCATAGGAACCTTCATTTTCTCCACAGTTGATAAAATTTTTAAACTATGGCAGGCCTGAACAAAACTAAAAGACCTGCATCTTTTCCTTGTTGCTATTTTGGAATTAATAAAGATCCAACTAATAGAAAGGATACAAGAAGGGAGCACAAATAAAATGAGAATAATTGATGTCTTAGACTAGTGGAATGTGGGTTTCAGTCCCATCCTTTGTCAACTCCAGTAAGGTTGCTGAGATTTTCCTCTTCCTAGGCGTCATTCCAGACTGAATGACCTTCCATTAGCATTGTCAAATAAAGACATAACTACAGGAGCCTGCAGATCTGGATGCCGAAGTCTTTTCTCAGGCAAATAGAAGCTCAGAAAAATCCACCTGAAACCCATAAAAGAACAGAGGCCAGAACACGGCGTTTAAAAATGACTTTTACCTACACTTACAAGGATGACAGTTGAAATACATTCTGATCCTTCTTCTCCAGTTTCCATCAGCCCATCTTATGGCCCTTTCCTTCCTCTTTTCTCTAGACCATTGGGTCGCAAAATGTGGTCCCAGGTCTGCATCACCTGGAAACTTGTTAGAAATGCAAATTACCAGGCCCCACTCCACACCTAAGAAATCAGAAACTCCAGAAAGTAAGGTTCAGCAATGGGTTATAACAAACCTCCAGGTGACTCTAATGCGCCCCTAGTTTGAGAACCAGTGACTTTGGCCAGCGTTATTTCTCTAACCACAGATTACGTTTTACAAAACACATAAGTGTAAACCAGTAAACTAAGTCCTCTGCACACTTTATGTAAATTTTCGCTTCATCCTCAAACCTGATGCAAGGTAGGTATTATCCCCACTTTAAGGATGGGAAAGGGGTTTTTAAGGTCTAAGTGTCACTCCGGGTCCAAAACTAACAAATGCAGATGGCAGATTAAACTTTTTGCAGTTCTTTTCACTACTGAAACAAAGGTCTGTTGCACTTAATTAACAAAGTTATGTTGTTTGCTTGCTGTTTCAGCAATTCGGAAAAAAAATAGATGTGGGTGGGTGGCAGCAGTATGCCAGCTGCCTCGGATCCTACCGAATCGGTATTTAAGGGCATGATTCTGGAAGGAGAATTTTCCAATAAAGAATGTTTAATTCGGCTGCGGTCCCTCCTGCCTTTGCAGGGGGTCTGCGCTTCGGCTTGGGGGCGCGGGGTCGCCTCGGCGGGCGGCTCAGCTCTCCTCCGCCGCCGGGCATCCCCGACGCGACAGGTTGTCTGCGCGAAGGGCACCCGCAGGAAAGGCCGGGGAGCCCTGCGGCTCCGGGCCCAGGGCACTCACTGGTTTACCAGGGGAAACTGGCACATCCCAAAGCCGGGGGAGCGTCAAACCCGACACCGCAGCTCGGCAGCGAAGGGCGCGAGTGGTGAACCTGAATCCGCCGCGGGCCGCGCGGCGAGAAACCACAGGTCCCTCTAGGGTCGGAGCGGAGGGTGGGATGGCAGGGTCGGAGAGACAACCCCGGGGGGGGGGCCGGCACTCACTGTGAGGGTCGCTCTTCTCCCGGACCCCGTCCACGCGGCCGTCAGGGTGGATGCGCAGGAAGAAGCCCCCGTTTTTGCAGTACAGACGCTTCGGGTCCTTGAAGTGGCCGGGCGGGAAGGCGCCGCTGCCGCCGTCCTCCGGCAGCGCGGGCAGCGTGGTGATGCTCCCGGCTGCCATGGCCCCGCCGGGTCCCTGCCGGGTTCCCCGAGCCCCTGCAGCGGCGCGCGGAGCCGCCGAGCCCCGGCCCCGGCCCCGGCCTCCGAGCCGCTCCGGGGAGCGGCCCCGGCCCCGGCCCCCCAGCCTCCCGCCCCGCGGCGCGCGGCCGCGCCCGCTGGCCCCCAGTCTCGCGCCGCTCGAGCCGCTCGGCCGCTGCCCTCCGCGCCGGCTCTGCAGCGTAGGGAGCCGGGAGGCCGGGGAGCTGGTGTTCAGGGCTGACTCCCTCCGCGGCTGCGGCTCTCGAAAGGGCCTCGTCCCCAGGCTGCGGCGCCCAGGGTCCGGGTGCCACCGCGGGACCGTGTCCGCCGGTCTGCCACCGGCCGACCGCGACGTCGCATCTACATCTCCAGCCCCCAACACCCACCCACCCACGCCCCCGGCTCTCCTCCCTTCCTGCGCGCCGCCCCCTCCTCGCTCGGTGTTTTCTGGGGCCGGCCTCTGGGTCGGGCGCTTCGACCGTAGCACGCAAGCGCGCGACCACAGCTCGGGGCGGGGGCTGCAGGGCGGCTGCGTCCCGGGCCTCCGCAGCCCTAGGGGCTCGACCCCAGCCCGTTCCCCAGAAGGCGCCCAGCCCAACCCCTCGCGGCCCGAACCACGTTTAGTCTTTCTCCACACTGCGGAGCTTTTGCCGTGCAACCATCCGTTACTCAACTTTTCAAAGTTTAAATGCAACTTTCTCCCCCTTCATTTTCCTTGCCAGTGTTTCACAAGGGAGAAACTATTTCCATCCCCAAGTAGAGGAATCGGAAGCCGGGGACGATTGTGTGTCAGAATAGGTTTTGAACGTTATCTACTCGCGGGGCATAAACCGTTAAAACTGAAGGCTGAAGTAGTTTACCAACAAAAGGAAAGAGGCCGCAGGAGGTGAGCGGATTGGGTTGCTAAAACGAAAAGGTTTTCTTTTACCAACCTAACTTGAATTAGACAACGTGGAAAGATGAAGATGCGCCTCAGATCCTTATCGTGATAGAACTGCTAATGTAATTCCTAAACTGTCGCTCACCCCAAATTGTTAGGGATTTCTTGGGGGGAGGGTAATTTTCTGAAAAATCCCAAACTACAAAATGGAAATTAATTGCATTTTGGTAATTTATAGTAGACTATTTATATAGTAGTCCATATATATAGACTATAGTAGACTATAGATACTACAAATTAACAAAATATCTGTCTAGAAAACTTCATATACTGAGGGCCTTTGCACTATGTGCAAAGCATTCCAGTAAGTATAGTGGGTAATAACTTACACAGGGTCTTCTCACACAATGAGGGAGACATTTAGGATGGAGAGCATGAGCAACACCAGGAGCAATACCAGGAGGTGTCAAGGCCAACTAAGAGTAAAATGAAGTGTGAGATTTCAGACAAGGTATAATTAAGCTTGGGGGTAGCAGGAGTTAGGGACAGCTTCTCAGAAGAGGTGAAAATACAGAATTCCTCTAATTAGGAACATGCTCTGTTTCAAAAGATCCTAAGTGCATTTGTCCGTAAGTCTCCAAGATGGGTTTAAATGCATGTCGAATATGTTAAATAGGAGCATGAATCAATTCTTTGGAGCTTTTTGAACCAGGTATGTTCTTCTTTGGGCTTGTGTATGTTCTCTGACATCTCTTTCCAAAATGGACATGTCTTATCTGCGTTGAAAATCTGTTAAATAGCTCCCTTCCGGGTGATCTCTGTAGGTATCTTAGGGAATGCTTAACTCTACTGTAGCATTCATCAGATTGCCACAGTTTAAAATAGATCTAAATAAGCCTTGAACTCTGTCACAGATCCCTGAGTATTCCAAGAACAAAGGGAAAAAAGCTAAGTCAAATTATTTAACACTAGTATCCAGCAATTTGGGAAATTGTTACACACAGTTAAGTAATTTGTACGCTAATGGACCACAGATCTTTGGGAGCTCCTTTCCCTGTACAATAACCCCTTGTCTTCCTAGTTTCTTACAAAACCAGGAAATGATTAATCCAGCTCTGAGACTCTATGGCCTTTAAGACAGTGTTCCTTCCAAGAAGACATCATTAAAATGTCTCAAGTTCCTAGCCAGCCCCTCCCAATACACACTGTACACACAGTCATATTCTTAAATGCAATCAATTTGCTCTCAGCTGAACCATGATCATTCAAATTACTTTTTCAATTTAACCAACTATAAGTATGAATATAAAAAAAAGATAATTTTGAAAAAAATAACTGGAAACAATAGATTTTTGTAAGATGATGGATGAAAACTCATTACTTTTAAAAGCCATTAGGCTCCAGTTCCTCAAAAACTAAAAATAGAAATACCATTTGACCCAGGAATCCCACTCCTAGGAATTTACCCAAAGAATACAACTTCTCAGATTCAAAAAGACATATGCACCCCTATGTTTATTGCAGCACTATTTACAATAGCCAAGATACAGAAGCAACCTAAGTGTCTATCAGCAGATGAATGGATAAAGAAGATGTGGTACATATACACAATGGAATACTATTCAGCCATAAGAAAGAAACATTTCCTACCATTTGCAACAACATGGATGGAGCTGGAGGATATTATGCTCCGTGAAATAAGCCAGGTGGAGAAAGACAAGTGCCAAATGATTTCCCTCATTTGTGGAGTATAACAATGAAGCAAAACTGAAGGAACGAAATAGCAGCAGACTTACAGAGTCTAAGAAAGGACTAGTGGTTACCAAAGGGAAGGGGTGTGGGAGGGCAGGTTGGGAGGGAGGGAGATGGGGATCAAAGGGTATTATGTTTAGTACACATGGTATGGGAAACCAGTGTAGCACACTGTATGGGAAAACAGTGTAGCATAGAGAAGACAAACAGTGAATCTGTGCCTTCATACTACACTGATGGACAGTGACTGCAATGGGGTATGGGTGGGGACTTGATAATATGGGTAAATGTAGTAACCACATTGTTTTTTCATGTGAAACCTTCATAAGAGTGTATATCAATAATATCTTAATACAAAATCCAAAAAAAACAAAAAACATTAAGTTCCAGTGATAACTATTTAGAAACTATAAAGGAAAGAGGAATTTCCCTCACAATACCAAGATAAATTACTTGGTATTAATAAGAATTATGCAGAGTCTAAACAATGAAAAGTACACAGATTTAATGAGAGCTTTAAAAAACAAAACTTCAAATGCTCTTGGATAGAAACATATAGTAAAATAACAGGGTAAAATTCCTCCAACCAAGTTTAAAAATTTTAAACAATTCTAGTTTAAACTTTATTAAATCTGGTTAAATATTGTAACATTTATTTGGATAAATAACATATGAGAATAGCAAATACATTTTTAATTATAGGGAAAACAGTGTGAAAGATTTTTAAATGGATGAAAAAGATTACTAAATATCTTCAGTGGAAAATTAGACATTGTGTAGGTACTGGATTCCATAGGGTACCTTTCATTGTCTTTGAGCAACTGTACAATTCTTCTGAGTTGTATATAGATAACTGTCATGGACTGAATTGACAAATTTCTGTGTTGAAGCTCTAACCTCCAATGTGACCATACTTAGAAACAGGGTCTTTTAGGAGGAGGTAATTAAGGTTGATGAGGTCATAAGAGTAGGGTCCTAAGCCCATAGAATTGATGTCCTTATAAAAAGGAGAGGCACCAAGAGCATGCATGCAAGAGGAAAGGCCACAGCAAGAAGGCTGCCATCTGCAAGTCAAAGAAAGGGACCTCACCAGAAATCAGCCTTGCCAGTACTTTCATCTTGGACTTCAGGCCTCCAGAACTATGAAAGATAAATTTCTGTTATTTACACCACCGAGTCTTTGGTGTTTTGTTATGACAGTCCTAGAAGACTGGTACAATAACCAATAACATGCAAATGAATTATGTCAACTGGGAGGACATTGATTGCCTTCCTCTGATTGTTAACTTTTTGTCAACTTGACTGGGCTAAGGTATGTCCACATAGCTGGTAAAATATTATTTCTGGGTGTGTCTCTGTGGGTATTTCCAGAAAAGATTAACATTTGAATCAGTAAGCTGAGTGAAAGAAGGCTTGCTCTCACCAATGCAGGTGGCTGTTGCCATTCACTGAAGGCCTGAATAGAACAAAAAGGTGAAGGAAGGGTGAGTTCACATTCTCTTCTTAAACTGGAATATCCATCTTCTCCTAGCCTTCAGACATCAAAATTCCTGGTTCTGTGGTCTTCAGACTCCGGGAGTGAGACCAGCCACTTGCTGATTCTCGGGTCTGCAGCCTCAGACCAGCAGTCCTGCCAGGGGTTCCCTTGGTTCTCAGGCTTGCAGACTGAGAATAAGTTAAACAACCAACTTTTTTTTTTTTGGCAAATGGAAGATTGTGGAATGTCTGAACCTCCCATGACCACATACACCAATTCCTATGATAAATATTGTCTTACATTTATCTGTATATATATCCTATTGGTTCTTTTCTCTGAAGAACTCTGGTAAATATACTTTCTTTACCTATGGAATAAGCCAGTTTTTGCATCCATTTGTAAATTCACTTCAGCCTTCCTTCTGCTTGAATTTTCTTCCAAACCTGTTGTCACATTTTACTGGTTTCTCATTAATTAATGAAGTAATATAAACTATCTGATGAGATATAAATGTTTATATTACTTTCTGTCTGCATAAAAGTCACAATGTTACCTTTTTTTAAAAACTTTCCTTTAAAATAATGAAATTAATGAGAAGAAACTTGCCCTTCCAGATGTTAAAAGGTATTACAGGTTTCCCTTGCTATCCCAAAATAGAGCATTCCTATCAAAATGTTCATAAGTCAAAATGGTGTAAAGTGAAAAAGCAATTATCATTAATTTACATGGAAAATTTTTGGATTGTTCTCAGACCCCAATAAATATCATGTCTCAGGGTGTTCTAATTCCTTAGGACACATCTTGCTAACAGATGCACAAAATACATTGAGAGAGAAAAAGCACAGAAGCTCACAGACACAGTCCAAAGCTATGGTGGCTTAATGATGAGATGATGAGTTCCCAGAAAGGAGCTTAGCTGTGCCACTCTCACTGCTCGGGATGTGCACTGCCTCTATGAGAGCTCCCTGCAAAACAAAGGCTGAATGCTAGTCTTACT